ATACTATCCAGATCCTCCCTCCCTGTCTTGCTTGAACTCATTCGTGTGTGTGTGTGTGTGTGTATCAAGTTCTGTACAGTTTTACCACCTGTGTAGACACATGTCTTCACCACCACAGTCAAGATACAGAACATTCCATCCCCACAAGGGTTTCCTGCTACCCTTTTCTAGCCACACCCCTGCCCCCCACCCGATCTCTAACCTCTGGCAACCCCTAATCTGTCTTTCATTTCTAAAATTTTGCCATTTCAAGGACATGATGAAAATGGAATCCTATAGCGTGTGATGTTTCAAGTCTGGCTTTTGTCCACTCAGCCTAACTCTCTGAAGGTCCATTCAAATTGTTGTGTGTATCAACACTTCTTCCCTTTTTATCGCTGAGTAGTATTCGATGACATGGAGGTACTGGTTTGTTTAACCGTTCGCCCACTGAAGGGCATCTGGATTGTGTCCAATTTGTGGCTATTACCAATAAAGGGCTGTGAACATTTGTGTACAGATTTGTCATTTTTTAAGATATAAAATTGGGTCTCATGGAATCCAGACTTTCTGGAGCCATTGAGTCTGGAGGAATGCCCGAAACTATTGCCCTGAGGTAATCTTTAAATCTTAAACCTTAAACCAAAAATATCCTCCAAAGTCGTCTTTAAACCAAACAATAGTTAAGTTTAACTAGTAAAGAATGTCTGCGTGGAGCATTGTACTCTTTCAAGATCTTTCTATCTAGGATCAAATTGACAGCAGCAACTTGAAAGGAAGCGTAGGGGGCAGACAGTGTATGTTAATGGGGGAAAAACAACTCAGAAAAGGAAGGTGAGAAAGGTTCACAACTTGAAGAATGTAATCAATGTCACTGAATTGTACGTGCAGAAATTGTTGAATTGATATTGTTTTGTATATTCTCAACAACAACAAAAATAAAATAAGGTAAAAAATAATAATAAAATTGGGGAAAAACAAAACATAGGAGCTGCAGAAAGGGGATCCCTTTAGGCCCTGCTCTGAGCAGCCCAGAGGTGGGGAGGGGGACCTCCCAGACGTGACCTTGGACCCCGGGATCACAGCTGTGGCCTCCATGTGATCATGTCCTGGAATCTGGGCAGCTCAAGGCTGGTCCCTGATGAAGGTGCCAGGCCCCAGTGAGAAGCTGAGAAAGCACAGAAGGTCCGCACATAACAACCCAGAACCACGTGGCTGACCTGCAGTCTCAATGTGCAGGTGAGGCTCCTTCCTGCTGGGGATTTCAACCACCTGAAATTTTGGCTTTGGCCCAGAATCAACTCCTGCCAGAGGGAGAACCATTTCCGGGCCTTTCTCTGCCTCCTGGGACTTTTCAAAGGCTGCTGCGGGTCCAGCCCAGGGCCTCTCCTCTGCTCACATCTCTGTGGTTCCTTCTGGTCACAAGCTGGGGCTCCTCACGGGATATCTCGGTTGTTTCTACCTGGCTTTCCCGAAGTCATGAAGTCCCATCGGCCAGGCCGCTGAGGGGGATGGGCCTGGCCTGAGAGGCATGCCTCCTGCCTGGGCCCATCAGGCAGGGGCGGATTAAGCAATAAGCAAGGTATGCCAGGGCTTACCTGTGTTTGCTTACTAACCTGTAAAGCACATTTCACATGGTTTCACCACATGCATGCCTTGCTTACCGGGTAATCCGGTCCCTGCTGCCAGTGTTCGAAAGGGAGGCACGTGGACCTGGACGGAGGCATGTGGACCGCAGGTGGCAGCTACAGGGGAAGGTGCACCTGGGGAGGAGTCAGGGATCCAGTTCTCCCTTCTTGGACCTGTGCCAGGCTCTGCAAGCCGGGAAGCGGTGCACCGGTGTTGGGTGGGGGGGCAGGGCCCTGTCCCAGGGAAGAGACCCCTGGCTAATGTGTGCTGGACACAAAAGTGGAGATGAGGCTCCAAGGGACCCTGAAAGGTGATGTGGCGAGATGCTGGGTGGGGCTACTTGGATAGCAACGGGGCCTGGCTGCCAAAGCTGGCGGGCCAGAGCCAGGGACCTGACACCCAAGACCTTGTGGGGCCCTGATGGACTGAAGGGCAGGGTTGGGAGAGACTGACCAGGCAGCGGCACCCAGAAATGCCCCAAGGGTGTCTCTTCTGAGCTCCACCGTGCGCTGGTGCCAGCCAACGGTCATACCCCCTGGAGCAGGTCTGAGCAGACAGGACTAGGAAGTGGTGGGGAAGGGGCAGGCCATCAACAGCTGATGCTGAGCCAGTGACAGGACCTGGTGTGGCAGGTTAGTGTTCCCCAAAGTTCACGTCCACCAGGAGCCTCAGAATGTGCCCTTGTTTGGAAATAGGGTGTTTGCAGATGTAATTAGTTAAGATGAGGCTGTACTGGAACAGGGTGGGACCCGATCCAATGTGACGGGTGTCCTTATGAGAGGAGACGGCACGCAAAGACACAGGACACAGAGGAGACTGGAGAGATGTGCCACAAGCCAAGGAAAGCCAGGAGCCACCAGAAGCCAGGAGAGACAAGGAAGGCTCCTCTCCTGGAGCCTCTGGAGTGAGCACGGCCCTGCCCACACCCTGGATTTGGACTTCTGGCCTCCAGAACTGAGACAATATATGTTTGTTGTTTCGAACCATTCTGTTTACGGTGCTTTGTTACAGTAGCCCCATAACTGCACACGTGGTAATGGTGGGCTTTGCCAGATGAGCCCCTGAGCCCCCCCCGCCAGTATCTGAAATCCTGGGATTCTCCCGGGACCACAGGGCGGGCTGGATTGAGGGTGACCTGGTGATGTTTGTGGTGGGGAAGACTCAAAAGCCGCAGACAATGCCGTGCCTCTTCAACAAGGTCACCTGAGGTCACGGATAGCGCGTGGGACAGGTGGGACCACGAGGCCATCCCTGAGCTGAGGGCGGCTCAGGCTCTGCGTCTCCCTGAGGCTTTCCTGGTTTTCGGGCACGTAGGAGCTGGTGTCTGTGTTTGTTTAGAGGTGTGTGTATGTGTCGGTGCATCCCCTGCACAGAGCTGTGGCGGCTCCCACGCAGACGAAGTGTGCTGCCATCGGGAGGGGGGCAGCCTGGAACCTACATCTGTGCAGTGGAATAAAGAACGTGATTTCTCCTGCACGTCTGCATCCCACCTGCGATGCACACCTGTAGTGACTCACAGTGGCACACCAAGGGCTGAAGGCGAATGAGGGGGTGCAGGTGAGCAAGGCCCAGAGGGTTGGGGGAGACAGATGGGCAGACAGACACATCCATGGTGCCCTGATGAGCCCAAGGCTGTGCCGGGAGAGAGCAGGAGCCTGGGGCCAGGGGTGAAGGGGGTGGAAATTGTGAGCTCTTGGGGAAGCAGCTTGGGCAAGTGCCGGTGATGGGAGCCACCAAGTACTGGGGGCTGCAAACGGTTCCTTGTGGTGGACCAGGTGGTACAGGCCCCCGGGGTGGCCTGCTGAGGTCGGGCGAAGGGTGTGGACAGACTCACCAAGGCCAGAGCAGGGGAGGTGCGCTGCTGGGGGCAGTGGGAGGGAGGCGAGGACCCAGACTTCTGTTCTTTCCCTGTCTGACCATATACTGGCTAAGCAAACTTCCTGCCAGCGCTGAGGCGCGGAGGCTTGTGCTGGGGGATCACAGGGTGCAGCTGTGTGAGGCGCATCCTTGGGGAGCTGGTATCTAACAGGGTGAGGACAGAGCAGAGGGAGAACCGGCTGTAGCCACACCAGGCAGGAAGGCGATGTGGAGCAGGCAGGGGCTGGCGTTCCAGGAGGGGGGTGCATGGGACCTGGGACACCTCCTGGGGGGGATAGTTTCATGAGAAGTGGGCCAGGAGTCCAAGGGGGAGGGGAGGATGAGGTCGGCGTGCCAGCCGCTTGCCAGCTGAGGTCCCTGGCACTGGGATGTCCCTGGCCGCACATCTGGGGACCAGATGAGGGGTGAGTGTGGGGGCGCGGGACGGGGGGGAGGGGCATTTGGGAGTCCAAGGGCCTCGTGGAGGTGAATTCTCCTCGACCTGACACAATTTGTCTATGGTAAGTGACCGGGTTTGGAAAGGTGGAGGCAGGGAGAAAAGGGTGGTCTTGTGGGAAGTTTTGGGGACAAGGATGCCCTGGGGGTGTTTGCTGAGGAAGGGAAATGCGGCCATCTCCCTTGGGAGGGAGAAGGGGGGACCCTTCTTCTGGAGGGAGGGGAGCGGGCTGCAGGGCAAAAGCCGGGAGAGGGGAGCGCACTGGGGGCCCAGGCTGGAGGCGAGGCTGGGAGAGAAAGGTGCCTGCCCTGCAGGTAGGAAGGGGTGGGGGAGGGGACCAGCCGAACCCCTCGGGATGCCAGCGACTGTCCTGGGTGCTTCTGCCCCCATGCGGTCACTGCCAGGTGAACCCTTGGCTGCCACCCCCCCACACCAGGGCTGGCAGAAGAGGGCGCTAAGCTGAGTGAGAAGTAGTTTCCCGCAGGGAGGCCTGACCCAGGCCCATGAGGGCGGCTGCAGACCGGTGGTGGGGACAGGGAGGGCACGGGGTGACCAGAGGGCAGTGGGCCTGGACCGGGGGGCTTCAGGTGCTGAAGTGGACGACGCTGGGGACAAGGAGGGATGGAGGTGGCGAGTGAGGAGGGTGGCGGGCGCAAGCTGCACAGGCCGGGGACCGGGACGGGGTGGGGGGACTCCGGGAGCCAGGGGACAGGTCGGGACAGCCCCCGCGCTCGAGGCACCGCATGGCGCCGGGTGGTGCAGGGCTGCGGTCACACGCGGACGGCCTGGCCGGAGGCCTGCGAGGTGCGCCCGTTGCGGGGTGACCGCCGTTCCCGGCAAGGCGAGGCCGCTGCTCCAAGGGCGGGTCGGGCGAAGCCGGCGGGGCGGTGAGCGTAGGGGCCCTCTGGCAGCGGCCG